ATTTTTTTCTTTCGTGTAATTCAATGTTTATATGAAAGTAGCTGTTTCAGGAGGACTTTCTTTCAGTTTGTGTCTGAAAGTTACTTCTTCACATGATCTACACATCCATGTATAGAGTTACTTATTTCAAAATTGATTACTTCCTTTCTTTGGAAGATTTCCTCATTTTTTTGTATCGAGATGGAGTAGTAGAAAGCCAAAAACTTTCTTTCGCAAAAATTAATCACTTCTAAAAATATAACCCCTCCAATTCGGAAAATCAATGTTTGAAGTTGTTGCCTATGTTTTTGTATCCAACTTTGATCGAATTAGTTAAATGACTTATTCCAGTTAGTTTATTCGCGGCATCGGCATTAATCGTTTGCTCTAAAGTTAAGTCGATGGCCTGTCTTGAAAAAAATTATCTGTTCTTTTCACACCAAATGAACCTTGTTGTAATTGTAGCTGTAATCCTGGATGAGTCTCTTCAACTTTCAATAATTTTTCTTGGTACAATACTGAATAACGTGAGTAATTTTGTTGATTGAAAGTGAAGAAAATACTTGTAATTCTAGGTAGCATATACTGGAGTAGATCGAATCTTTCTAATCTGATGCTCCGATTCAACATGAAATAATATTCATCAACTGAACTCACATAAATCATATAAAATGATTCAGTGTGAACACAGATACCAATAAAATTCGGCAGGTTATTTTTCAATACAAAATTTCGTTCATCTTTTTTTAGAGCATGATTCATATACGTTTTCAACATTTAATAAATAGCGTCCAGTGAAAACTAACTTTCACCGATTCTATAATGATCGTATTTTACTGTGACGAATAGCATTATATCTTCTTTGGTTATAGATGGATATTTTTCCAATTTGGTACATTTATGCTCGTTTTAAGACATCCTAACTCAAATATATGAATGTCAACACGAAATGTCGCTTTGGGCAAATATGATAAATATATAACTAAACCTATATGTCAGCACAGAAATATTTACATTCAGGTTCATTGAAATGATAATATAATAGCGTACGGCCTTCAAAAATATTATCTTCACATAGATTACAACTATTGTTCATGATTTTTTAAATTTGCATCAGATGTTTGTCTCAAACTCTTGAGTTTGAATTGATTGAATTGATACCCAAATAAAAATGTTTGCGATTTTGTCTTCGCTACCGAATATTTTTGTATTGAGATACGTACACTTGTACATTTCGGATTCTCAATGATAAAATATAAAACCTACCTGAAATATTGCAGAAATATTGTTTGTGAAGTTATGCCTGAGGTCCTACGCTGAAAGATAACGTGGGAATATCACTTAGTCCCGATAAAATCAATGATTATTATTGTTCGATTGTCCCTCCCGAGGAGTCTTTCCTTGTCGTGGTGGGAGGGCTTGCGTAATGTGTTGAAGCAGTCAGACTAAGAAGGACCCAGGTCTAATCCAAGGTGTTATGCGACCCGTGCCAAAGGATGAATGGTACCGGAACCTCATCAGATATCAGTAACGGAGCCGTTGGGATACCAGGCGACCTCACAAAGTATCCAGCCTTACATCCATACAGGGGGCACTATGGATGTGGACAATCCTTTCCCCTATACTCGTGGTACTTGAATGGGAAAAAGAACTACTAGAACATCAAAGGAGGACTTTTCGAGCGACTTCTCGCAAAATAAGACTATCCTGGAGATGCAGAATGACCAGGAAAGTCATAGTCGAACGGCGGGAAACACCAGTTCCGCCGAAAACATAACTGCAGGATTGACAAAAGTCGAACTGCAAAAGAAACGGCTATCAGGGGCGCAAAGACGCAAACTGATGAAAGCGAAGAAAATAGCTGCCGGAACCTGGATTGTAAATCCATGTGATACAAAGAACCGCAGAAAAATAGAAAAAATTAAAGCAACTTCTGTGGAAAGGGCCAAAAAGAGACCTAG